TAGTTTGCCTTCCATTTTGGAGATTGCGCGCAAACTGAGCGATGTGTCTTGGATTGTTTATACATGGAACTGAAACTGGAGGTGGTGGTGGTGCTGCCATGATTGGTGAATCAGATGGAGTGGATGAAGAAGATTACTCACGCTCTTGTCTTTTAATAGCTTATTTCTGTCTTCGCCTTGTGTGACTGTTGGTACGACAAGCAGTTCTTTCAATCTCAGGATCGAAAAAGAAGGTCTTCAGGCCAGATTTGTCCTTGCATAAACGAATTCTGCACACGAACCAAACAGATCAAAAAGCACAAAGAATTACAGAGATAAGAGGTTAACATTACACAAATCTTAAAATCACTAAACTATTGCAATGCTTGCAATATTCTACTAACAATCCCCGGCAACGGCGCCAATTTGTTAGAAGTATTTTTCGATAGTGTTTTATCGTATCCACAGGGATTGATGAGAATATGTGATGCTTGTCGTTCAATGGTTTAATGATTTAAAAAGGGGGATTTTTTAAATGGTTTATATTTTTGTAATAAGAGTTTGTAAGAAATAATAGAATAAAATTTGGTCTTAGTTTGATAAAAAAACATGCCAAGATTAGGGTTCGCTAATCCGTCCTAAACGTATCCAACCGATCAAATATGTGAACGTAGTTTTAACCAACATAATCGCGTATCCTCGCAAAAACGTTTATTTCTAAAGCGATTTCGGGAATGTTATTGTTTCGACCATTAAATGATCTCTCTAAATAACACTCGAAACAATAATCCTTAAGATCAATACAAAGCGAATATAAACTTTCAAACCTATGTCTAGAGTTTGTATAGTTGATAGATGAAGAAATTAGGTCAAGACTTGAAAAGTTCATGTCTAAAGCAACCCAAACCATAAATATAACAAAAGATAGAAAATAACTTCATCTATATTGATCAAAGCATTGTTCACATACAAAAGATCAAGAAGAATACATAAAATCTGAAGTAGCTACTTCTAACCTTGATAAAAGAGAGGTTTTAGCCACCCATTTCCATGATAGCTTGAGCAACAAGTTTCGGAAGAAGGTTGATAAACATCTGAGTCGAATAATCGAGATTGGATGGGAATCCACCTCCTTTTTGTGAAAGATGGCTAAGAGATGATGAGAAATGGAGAAACTAGAGTTTTTGCTCTGAAAAATCTCTCAAAATAAAAGTACAAGAAAAAGATATTTTTCCAAAAAGTACCACATACTACTTATAGAAAGACTGCTGAGCTGTCATGTTCGCACTGCGAACAATGGCAGTTGAAGTGCCTTTGTACAGTGAAGACTCCCCTGATATATTTCCACATGTTCGTTGTGCGAAGAATCCTCCGCAATGCAAAAACTTCGCTGCAAACTTCGCACAGCGAACTCTTGTCCAAATACTTACTGCCCCAAGTCTGGGGGTGTTTGCTAGGCATTCGCTTCCTCTTCGCTCCAGCGAATACTTCGCTACCTCCTTCGCACAGCGAACTTAGGTCTGTTTTCTTTCTAGATGAACAATACCATGGTTCCCATGGCCTTCGCTGCCAAGTTCGCACAGCGAACGTGTTGAAGTTTTTCTAGGCAAGTTCGTTGTGCGAACTTGCTGATGTTTGCATGCTGACTTGGTTTCCTTGTCATAATTTTTTCTGTCTTAATCTTCAAATTTTCATGCCTAATTCCTGCACAATAGCACACAAATCAAAACAACTAAGATATTTGCATGGAATGATGCAAATCCACAAAAGCAAGAATGATTCTAACACATTATCTACAAAAAGAAATGAAAGATACCCACATTTGATAGTTCAAATAAGCAAAGTTTGGCATCTAACATATGTCGTACCTGTCCCTGAAGTCATACTTGTCCCTAAAATCGTACTTGTCCCTAAGGTCACTATGAACTCTCCTCCAACGCTCTCGCCATCACCGGATTCGATCTTGCAACCTAAGTCTGATATTCTGATTGCCCTTTGAAAATGTATACGTCAAACACAAAATCCTTCTCCACGTTATATTAATTTATGTTACCATCGTCTTTCCCCTTTGCAGTATACTTGTTTGTCTTCTTCATCTTCTGTTTCTATTCCTAAAACTCCAGGTGAAGCATTATCTCACCCTGAGTGGAGGCAAACAATGATTGATGAAATCTTTAGTAAGTAGTGGTACCTGGGAACTGGTTCCTCTACCCCATGGGAAATCTTTAGTAGATTGTCATTGGCTTTATACAGTGAAGGTTGGTCCAGATGGCAAGATTGATCGATTTAAAGCTCGCTTGGTAGCCAAAGGATACACTCAGAATTTTTGGTTGAATTATAGTGATACATTTTTGCTTGTAGCTAAGATGGCATCTGTTAGATTTCTTCTAGCCATTGCAGTCATTCGATATTGGTATCTTCATCAACTTGACATTAAAAATGCATTCTTACATGGTGATATTGAAGAGGAAGTATATATGGAGCAACCACCTGGGTTTGTTGAACAGGGGGAGTCATCGAATATGGTTTGTAAGTTACACGGGTCTCTTTATGGTCTTAAGCAATCTCCGAGAGCTTGGTTTTCCAGATTCAGCACTGTGGTACAACAGTTTGTTATGATCCATAGTGAAGCTGACCATTCTGTTTTTTATCGTCCCTCACCCCAAAGGTGTATTTATCTTATTGTGTATGTAGATGACATTGTTATAACTGGTAGTGATCAGCAGGGAATACTTTTGTTGAAACAACATCTCTCGAAACAATTTCAAACAAAAGATCTTGGTAAACTCCGTTATTTCTTGGGTATTGAAGTAGCCCAATCTAAAGATGGTTTGGTGATTTCTGAACGGAAATATGTTATGGATATTTTGGAAGAAACAAATTTGTTAAATGTTAAACTAGTCAATACTAATATGGATCCAAGTGTTAAACTATTATCCAATCAGGGGGAGCCTCTATCTGACTCGGGAAGGTATAGAAGATTGGTTGGAAAGTTGAATTATCTCACAGTCACTCGTCCGGACATTTCTTTTGCAGACAGTGTGGTAAGTCAGTTCTTAAATATCACTTGTCAGGAACACATGGATGTTGTTATCTGGATTCTGAGATACATCAAATGCGCTCCAAGAAAAGGTCTTGTGTATGAGGATAAAAGACATACCCAGATAATTGGATACTCTGATGTTGATTGGGCAGGGTCACCCATTGATAGACGATCCACCTTCGGGTATTGTGTACTTGTTGGAGGAAACATTATATCTTTTAAAAGTAAGAAACAAAATGTAGTTGCAAGATCAAGCGTTGAGGCAGAGTATATGGCCATGGCAATAGCAACATGTGAACTTATTTGGTTAAAAAGGTTGCTCAAGGAACTTCAAATTGAAGAAGTAAGACCAATGACACTTATTTGTGATATTCAAGTTGCATTGCACATTGCTTCAAATCCAGTCTTCCATGAGAGGACCAAACATATTGAGATAGACGGTCACTTTGTCAGAGAGAAAATCGAGTCAGGTGACATCGTCACAAGCTTTGTCAACTCTAATGATCAATTGGCAGATGTGTTTACAAAATCCCTACGAAGCCCCATCACAAGCTTTGTCAACTCTAATGATCAATTGGCAGATGTGTTTACAAAATCCCTACGAAACCCCAGAACTAACTATATATGTAACAAGTTTGGTGCATTTGACTTATATGCTCAAGCTTGAGGGAGAGTGTTGATATTTGTAAATATATTTGTTAAGAATATTTGTATATATAATAGTCTCACGTCGACTATATCATGTAATTAGTTGTAATCTATTTATATATAATAATGTCTTCGTAGTGTTTTTCAAAACACACAGTTTATTCATGTCTCTTAATCTCTTATATTTTAACAGTTGCCATACTTTATTTTTAACTTAAACCCTCACCCTAAAAACCCTTCATTCTTATCCATTTTTTTCACTTCAAATCTTCATCCTTTTGGTTCAACATATCACACGGAGTAAAAGAAGATTGAATTTCAGGTAAAAATCATTCTTTTACCTCTGATTACCTCCAATCCCCTTATAAAAAATTGAACCAAACACATCTATTTTAAAATATTTCCTCCCCTCCAAAACCCCCCAATCAAACAGACCCTAAGACTTAAGCGGATGTTAGGACTATATAAGATACATATTTCAATTTCGAAGAGAAAGTTCCGCTTGAGTTGGAAGCGATACTACAAAGATCGATTAAAGATATCATAAAAATATGCAAGCGTCTACCAGAATATTGAAAAGTAATATTTAATTTTCTGTTGAAATCATCATTATAATGATCATTTTATGTTAAAGATGTCAATTGCATTTTGAAAAAATCATTTTAATTTGAATCTATTTATAATATTTTTCTAAATACGTAACTACGGATTGGTTCTGGAGATGCATCTCCGGAACAAATTAAACTCAAAATATAGAGCGCCTCAGAAAGGCCTTTGTTGAGTCTACAAAAGGTACATCCGAAGACATATTTGAAAAATCACACAGTACGCTAGAAGCCTATAGAGTGTAATAAGAAATCCTCGATTATTTTACCTCACTCTAACCGGCTATATAATTTGAGTATTAAATTTGGCCAAACAAAACCTAAACGGACCTGCATAGACTCCTATCTACATCTTCATACAGACAAGTAAATGTACCTACAATATATAAATTAAATAAATAAAAATATAAAACATCAGTGTACATAATTGTTACAAAAGATTTTGGATTTGGCTAATGAGACTGCTAAATTATTCGATCAACCTTTCGAGTGCAAACCAACTGCTAAAACTGGATGCCATAAATTAACTATAGTTTCCTGAACCATTTTCAACCCTTCAAAAGAGGGAGAAAATGAGAAAATAGAGAAATCTAATATCACAGATAAATTAGGTGCTACAAAATAATGCCTAGGAGAAATCTAATATAACAATGCTCTGTGCTACTCATCCGTGAAGATAAAAGAATGGGATAAACTAACCTACAAAATTATCAAGAGAAAACAAGTCAATCAAAACGTCGTTTTGATTTTCTACGCTTCCCTAGGAGTTTTAACATGTTGTCAGTAACATCAGGAGGAGATTTATCGTCTTCATGTTGAGCATTGTCAGAGGTATGAGTTAACCAAGCCAATGCTTCTATAGCAGCATCCCTTTCTGCAAGCTGCTTGTTTCTTTTCGGTTTGCCAACAAATTGCATTCCTTTAAACTCCACCAATGCTCTGAACTCATTTGTCTTTAGATGTTTTGTTTTGTATTTTGGAGGGGAATGCCCTGCCCGCATCAAAAGTGTTTGGAGCAAGCTCTTGGGATTTGTTCCATCTTTTGTGAATTTATTCTCATCATTAGAGGCCTTAGGCTTCCGGCTGTCACGGCCAAATACAAATCTTCCTTCACACTGATCCCCGGAGACCAATTCCTGAACAGCCAGCATCAAGTACTTCCCTTCCTTATGAATGTCAATGTTAGGATCTTCTAGCTGCATTATTACAAATCCATTAAATAAAACACAAAAAACTTCTACTAGACATCATTAAAGCTATAGCACCATACAGCAATGTCTTGTAACAATAAGTAAACAATGAATACCGTTACAAAAAATAATCTGCTAACCTTCTTTTGGATGAGCTTATCAAGTTCTTCCTTAAGCTTCAAATAGCAGTCAGCTAAATTGGGATCCAGAAAGAAATCAACATACCCATCTAACATTTTCAGATGCCCAGCCTAAACCCATCAGGGGGAAAAAAAAACAAAAGCTAGTTATTGTACTGAAATATTTGGATCCTTATCTTTCAAATGGAAGAAAAATATGTATTGACTATGAAATCACCTGTATCCCATTACTTAGAGCACCGCCAAATAGGATAAGTATTGAATCAGATACACCGGTGGAATCACGGATGAAAACAGCATTGACCTTTACTTTCTCACCAAAAACCAACCATGGGTAAGGAATAGTCTGGTACCGTGCATTCACTGAGTTCTGGATAAAATTATAGAATAAAAACATAAATTTGAGGGGGAACTATATGGGAAGCAGACAGAGCTCATCTCACAATATAAACATCTCAGGTAACTGACATAAAATTGTCCAATGGTTTTGCAGTTCTGGTCCTCAAACAAATGTGCACCCAAGCAGTGCTGGTCATAATTAATTGTTATGAATTCCTTTTATTCACTAACATGTTGCAGAGTTTCTTCAGATAGATTAGAAAGGAATACCAAATGACCTATTTAAATATGATATATTAACTCAAGGGGTTGCCCATTTTACTGTGTACTGTAGTCTGTATGATTTTCATGCGATAGAAACATAATAAAATTTAGTAGATGTATTCAGTATCAAATGAAAATTTAGATATAAACAACAACAACCAAGCATTACCCCACTAAGTAGGGTCAGCTACATGGATCAACAACAACCTAGTGAAAATTTAGATGCTCAACAAAAATCTGAATTGCAAAATGGATATTTCATAAAATGTTAACTACATTATAACACAAGATAGATAAAGCAATCTTATGAAGATAGGAAAGATAAGATTTGATTTGTCACTTACTGCATATAATAAAACCTGGCCATCGTCCATTGTCTTAAATGACATGGATGTCTCCCTGTGCTGCACATAGGAAGAAATAAATGAATTGATAAAACAATGAAGACTCAACTAGTAAGATAAGTGTGGTATCTACTGAAATAACATTATAAGAGATAGCTCACCACCACTGATGCTATGCCAGGAAAGAGTCCAGAACATATGACAGCACGTACAAGAGATTGATTATGACTCAATTTGTTATTAATGCTTGCATCTGTATCTACCAAGCCAGCTTCTTTCAAGATGAAGCTGAATTGCTTCCGAAGAGAATGAATTGCCTGAAGAGTTTGGGCAGAGAGAAAATTTCTCCAGCAGTATTCATAAGCTGATCCTTCTCTTTCAGCATCTTTCCATCCTTCATATGCTCGAACAAGAGCCATATGATCACTGTAATCTTTAGCAGAAAACCTAGACTTTGCAGTCCCTGCTAACTGTAACACAAAAGGTGATTAAGTTCAAAGACTGGATCCTCATCAATGGTGCATTATCAGACCGGACTATTACCATTATAGAACACAGGAAGCACTATCAGATTCCAGGATGAAATGGAAATTATATGTATGACTAGTTTTCACACCTAAACCAAATTGGCGTATACACACTCAACTAAAGGAAGAAGAAAACAAATTAACAGTTACTAAACTGAAAGTCCGCATTTATTTCAATAGCAGTAACAAGTAAACTTTCTAATACATTCCATAGTGATATGAAGACATTTCCTTTTATTTATTTTTAGTAATAGAAATCTTGAAACCTCGCATTACCCAAATAAGGCTTTCAAGAATATAATGATGTGATTATTATCATTACCATCCTGTTAAAGATGAGATTATCCGTTCTCCATTAAAAGGTTTTCCAATCACATTAAGAGCATTCTAATTTAAAATTTCATACGAAACATTTATCAAAAACATGGTATAAAAATTTATTGAAGAACAAACTTGTATTTACTGCCTTGCTACATAGCCGAATCCATATATACAACAAAGATTAGATTCAAATGGGCACCAAAAAGATGATAATTTGACTTACATCTCTCTTGTCTTGGGGCAAGAGGAAAGGATCTCTGACACTAAGGCCGGCAACTATTGTAAGAACAGGATCAAAGCACCGAAATATAGCCCCCATTATCAGCATTTTTCCCAGCTTGGGATCTACAGGAAGTATGGAGAGAAACTTCCCTGATTGAAAGAAAATGAAAATAAATCAAGGAATCAACAATAACTGAGAAAACAATGACAGACTCCTATGCAACCAACTGAATAGGACAGAAAAACAGACTCACCAAGATTGGTAAGATTTTCTTTTTCATCTAATGCTCCAATCATCGTGAGAAAATCAATAGCATTTTGAACCTGTACCATTAAATTGTGAAGATATGGTGTATTTACAAAAATCCTAAACCAATTATAAGGTCTCAAAAATATGAAATTAATTCTGTTTCCTTAATACTCGTTTTCTATGGTCAATACTACTTTTAGTCTTATCATTCTTAGGAAGGAAGTTCTCAATTCAAATGAGTTTTATAGGCATTTGGGGATCACTATATCCAAACTACTGAAATATGCGGATAATAGATACAAGAAAGGATTGAAACATGGAATATTTACATTGTTTAAATTATTTCCAATTTATAAAATCTAACCACTCAAGCGGTTAATAAAGTCAACGGCACTTTTGATTATACATTTTTTGATATAAGTATTTTTTATTACCAAAGAAGTCTTTTTATAGTTAAGTTAATGACGGTGAATTATTAGCAAGGAAGTCTTTTTTTTTGTAGTTTAATTTTTACTACATAAATAGTTGTTCTTGACACTTAACTATAAAAAGACTTCTATATACATTTCTTGACATAAGATTGCCTTTTTAGTAGAACTTATAATTGGCACAAATATACAATTGAAGAGCAATGATACTTACGGCACGTGGCTTTGGTGCCTGCAAAGCTGATGATAGGAATTCCCCAATGCTCTCAACCTGCAAACTTTTTATTTGCAAGCAAAGAGAGTTCAGGGGTGTTCTCAAAAGTTCAGGAAGTTGATATTCAGAAAAAGCTTCATAAACACATTTGGGGTAAAGATGGTAGGATTCTCCTGGCTGCACACGACCAGCCCTACCTCTTCTCTGCAAACAATGAAGCCAACACAGGAAAAGACAATTATTTACATGTTTATATGTATAATAAAATAAAGAATGTTGTATGAACATGTAGTATAAAATAGAAACAAAAGCTATTGAAGGCAACCCAAAATTTTCAAATAATTTCAGCATCCAATATATCACTAGAGGAGCTAGACTGTGGTGCATCAAACTAATAGATTTATTTCAAACCAAATATGCAAAGAGTATTGAACAACACTAGCTACCTTGAAGCTTTAGCTTCCTCACTTTTGAAATAATCAATTAATTAAAGATTGAGGGAGAAACGACTAACAAATATTAGCTCCTACAATTTCGTACTAATAGGAAGAAAAAAAACATACACCACATATTCTAGGCCATTATATAACGTGAAAATGGATATAGAACAAGCATATAAACTTCTAGGACTCGTGAAAGAAATATGACAGGAAAGAGTTGAGCATTTTTGGCTCCTTGGAAGTTGGACAGAAAAAGAAATATAATTTCAGAGGAAAATAGAGAAGAAGGGCTGGTAAGAAATCATCTAGAATAAACCACAAGACAAAATAGGAAACATTTGCACAAAAATCCAAAAGATAGCTGAAGCAATTTGCCACAGAAAAGATAGAAAAGAGTTGATCATATTTATTCTTTTGGACTGAGAGAAATATAATAAGTAATTACAAAGGAAAAAAGAAGAGAGGATAGGAAATCCCCCAAAAGAAACACATGACCAGAAAGGAAACATTTGCACGAGTCCAAACACAAGCAAATAAAAGTATCCACAAATATCTATTCCCTTGATATCCTCTAAATTTGATCAAAATGGTGTCACCGTTTCTGGAATCTTAGCAGTTTAAACCAAAGTACCCCTCAACTCTTTGCTAGGCATTGTCCATGTGACCAGGAAAATGTTGGAACTAACTGTGTCAATCATTTTGCTATAAACAGATGGAATCTCCATCTCAAATGTACCCTGAAAAAGAATCTGTGATGCTCTCCGCTGGACATGGCTGATTTATTTTCCTATTATGGGCTGGGTTTTATATTCATATATGCCTTCACCTATTTTATGATGGAAGTAGAACTTACCAGGATAAAGAAACGACGATTGGAAAGAGTTAGAAAGACAACAGATCTTCCTTAGAAAGGAAAAAATAGTCAATTAAATAAAGCTTGTTTCCTTGAGAAAAAATAATCAATTAAGTAAACAAATTCATGCATTTCTGAGGGCTTGAACCGAAAGAACTATGGAAGAGGAAGATGCAGCCATATTCATGTGATTATGAATACTAGAAAAGTTAAAAGTAAATATAGTATACAAGATTAGGATACGCATACTAGCCTGCCGTGCAGATGCTTGTGAAATCCAAGAAGGTAGTAGACACGGTGTGTTATTCAAAGCGTCATAAGTGGTCTCTTTTGCTTTTCCACAGTCGACAACAAAAACTATGTCATTGATCGTAATACTTGCCTCTGCCATATTTGTAGCAAGTACTATTTTCCTTACATTTGGAGGTGCTTTATCAAAAATGAGTTTCTACAAAGAATATAAAGCAACAATAGTAAATTAGTTATCTAAATACAGCAAGATACAGTCAAATTAAGTAACATGAGAAAAGATATAATCACCAGTGCTATTAGAAATTGAACATGAAAATAAGGTTCTACCATTATTATATAACACCAGTCTAAGAGTAAAAATTTAACTTCGGTATTGTCTACCATTACCTACTTTTAGATTTTAATGAAAAAATGCTTCTGAAAAAGAATCTGTTTTTTTATGTCAAATAAAAGAAAAAAGACAGAAATGTTTTTCCATTGAGAGCAAAAAAATGAACAAATGTAAAAGCTAAGGAATCCCTCAAAATCTATAACAAGATTAATTTGAACCAAAAATAAATGATACTGGGATACATACTCATTCATATTTTTTGTTTTATCCCTACTTCGTCCTGCCCATAATGGTGCCATCTGTTTTCTTTCTAATAAAAAAATCTCTATTCAAAAAAATGAGATGTGGCAATGGAATACCACCAAAACTTAGCTTCTATTAAGAGTCCTACGTTATACCAACAGATTATTTATTGTTACATATAAAAAGCCTGCTAAATAAAAATCACTCAGTCGTATTTTATATAATTCAGTTTGAAAACATGGGAAAAAAAAAAACATAAACAGATCTATTAACATGACTTGTTTCAATTTGTTGCTAGAGGCTTATCAGATGAAAAAAATTGCATGAAGGATAAACAAAAGGTTTGTGCATACATTACAATGTTATTACACGCCCATAAATAAAAAATAAACCAAGAAAATGACCAACCTGTTCAGAAGTTGCCATTGAACCATGGCATGTTTGAAGCAGAACCCTATTGGGATCTCCTAAAAGAGGGTGTGCTTTAAGCTGATCTCTTAAACAGGTTATATCCTCCCACCCAGTCATAAATACTAAGACAGCACCAGGTCTTTCCTTCCGACATATATGGCATAGAACAGCCTCAATGAGATTAAATCCTATGCAGTCCGGTGCCCAAGAAGATAATGAATCACGTGTCTTGGGACTATAGTTCTCGAAGCTTGATTTAGAAAGAGCATCCTATTCAAAAGTAGGAAAGTGGAAAATTCCTTGTCAACATAATGCACTTAAAAGAATCCAATTTCGGTTTATAGGTCAAACACAGAATATCAAAACACTTCATTTGATTTTAAGCATTACAGAAAATGATATAATGAGATGTGTTATTTTGACACAAAATGGGACAATAACTTTATACAACAATTTGTATAGTTATGTTCAGCCGATAGTTGATGAATATAACAAGGTGTCTCAATTCATTAATCATCCATTAAATACAATTAACCGCAATTTTGAATGTCATCAACCACAATTTTCATTCATGTGTATATTTGAACACAAATCATGGCTAATGTCATGTATATTTGAATACATCAAAATCGTGTACATTTGAACATAATTTGGACGGTTAATGGAATCATGAATATTTGATAACCTAAATATCGTGGTTAATGATATTTAAAATCAAGATTAATTATTGTAGGTACATTCTTATATGTATTAATCATCTACTAAACGTAATTAACTACATATTTGAACTGCATCAACCATCCAAATTCCTGTTGAAATTTGTTGTTAAATTTGTGTTAAAATACCATTTTCTATTATAGAATGTGATCACCAAAAACTATAGGAGGACTGGCACGCCTTTACATTTAAGTTTGAGTGGAATTTACAACCCTAGTTTAAAATATTTGGGAATAACAAAATGCAGCGAGACACAACATCAAGGTATCAGCATGCATTAGAAAGATGATGTCAGGCAAAACAGTGGAACCTAAAATCCCTTGAGTACACCAAATATTTAACTAATACCTAACTAAACTGAACTCTATATAGCCACTACAGTAATGAATTAAAGGAAAGATATCAGTGGCCAACAATGAGGGGATAATCAATATTGTTTGGCACCAAATTATGCCATAGCTGATGCATGCAAATGAACCAATAAAGTAAAAAATAAAAAAATAAAAAAAATAAAAAAATAAAAAAGTAAATACTAAATAAGAAAATCTGCTCCCATTCACATTATTAGAATTTTGATTTGGTCTAACTCAACATTACAAAACCGTCTTTTAAGGTGATGACTACCCTCGCTTATACAGATAACTTTTAAGAATTGAGTCAACGGATCACTTTATCCTGGAAGAGCACTCCAGGTTTTAACAGGGGGGTATCTGCCAAGAGAAAAACTCCAGGTCATTTGCCAGTGTGCCCTACCAAGAGGAACAAGGTTACCTATCTCACAATATAGGGGAGGAAATAGTAAGAAAAAGTATGAGCAGAAATTGCAAGGAAGATGGGACTGTCATGAGTGCTTTCATTCTTTGTGAACATCCAATATCCCCCTCTCCTTCTAATATACCTTGGTAATGGTTCAATGAGGTTTATCACATTGACAACATCAGTAATAAAGCATCTTTGGATCTTGTTCAACACTTTCAATGTGGATTCTTATTACATTTTCAGACTACATATGTGTAACTCTCAAGAATGCACAAACACCACATAAAAACACAATATGAATAGTTAGGAAAGAGATATCTTTAAACATCATATAAACTTTTAAGTAAGTATTAAGACCAAGTTTTTAAGCCAGCTAGATACCTCAACAAGAGCAGTGATCTGGTTTTTCCTCTTTCGTGGTGCAAGCTGCTTTTGTGTTTTCCATAATTTATCTTGACCATAATCATCAACTTGGTTGAAAGAAGACAACTTATATCCAGTCATTTCCAAAACATCTTCTAAAAAGTGAGCTCTTACAGGATAGGTGAAACCCTGGACAACAAATAAAATGCCTTGTTTCATGAAAAACATTACAAATACAGACAAAGCAGCTGATGTAGACTGATATGATCACGATGATGTATTATGAAGAGTTAGAAAGAAGTGAGTACCAAATCTCCTAAATTTTAAAATAAATAGATATATTAAAAGGGCATGTATTGCAAAATTCGATAACATTTGGCAAGCCAATGCTAACTGCTAAGTATCCTACAATGAATTACAAAAGACTATGAATTGTGTGAGACATGCATGAACCAGTGCACTATGTATCACTGATACAAATCCCAAGTTTTAGCAATTTGTTTTCTATTTTTTTAAATGAATTGTGTGAGACATGCATGAACCAGTGCACTATGTATCACTGATACAAATCCCAAGTTTTAGCAATTTGTTTTCTATTTTTTAATTTTCTTTCACCAATTACATTAGAGAAAGAAAGGTCAAAAAAGCTTAAACTGCTAAATTAAGAGTATGAAATGCATCCTATTTTATTATTCTATTTTTTATTTGTTTGTCTGAAGCATGGCTTCAGGCAGTCACTCACTATGTTACTCATTTGGATGTCCTATAATTCTGTTTTCAATCCTCTGTAATAGAGGCTTTACACATTGTTGTTAAACTCAGGAACCAGCTCTTACGACCGCACGATTCTACAAATTTACCCTTGTTATATGGTCACATTCCTAATGGAGAATGTGAAATGGACAGATCATGTAAAATCAATGTGCCAACTTGTGAAAAACACAGGGATCAAGTGCTTCAATTTTGCGAACCACAAAAAAAAGGCCAGGTTGCAGTGCCTGATTGGAGGGAAAAACCTTTTTTCCTGCAGTCCACTTGTTCAATACTTCAATGTCCTACATCACTGTTGTGCAACCCTTGATCCTCCTTCGTCATACGTGAAACTTATGTATTATTTGAGACTTTAGAACATTATTAATGTTTAGGTGTTGAAGCCTTTTATGGGTGTGTTTCTGAATCATATTTCAAAAATTGAACAAACAATTCCCAATATGATCCACAATTTGACAACAATTTTGCTGACTGTTAGAGGTTGGGAGCCTTAGAAAAAGCTAGGCCAACAGACACTAATCCCTACATTAAGAATGGCATATTGAAAATAACTACATAGCAGCACAAATTGAAATGGGACATATAATATTATGTGCACAGTTATCCACCCAATCACTACCCTACCATCCCACCACCAACGCATACACATACAATAGTTTCAGTTACCAACGCAAATAAATGATCAATTAAAACTAGAGGAGCACCTTACCGGGATATGAAATGTCGGTGCACCTCCAAAATAATTCGAAAAAAGTTCAGCATTCAAAGTGGCACTCATCAAAACCAATCTCAAATCACGGCGACGTGGAAGAAGATCCTTCAACACAATCAGTAAGAAATCTAAGAAGAACAAAAACCAATTATGTAAAGAATAAGTCTACTTGGTTAATTCTTTAGGATTATGCAATGGATAAACTGGTGTTAGTAGAGAATATACCTTCATTCATGCCTCGCTCATGAATTTCATCCACAAACACATGGGTTATACCACTCAAGTTCCGATCACTCAGCAACCTTCGGAGTAATATACCACTGGTACAAAATAGCAGATGGGTGTTTTTCCCTCTCATTCCTTCTAACCGAACTTTGAAACCAACCTATCAAAAAACCTCTGTTGTGGTATAGCAGCAAGAACAAAGATATTCCCAATTTTAAAATCTCATTGAAAGCAAAATATATAATTTATGAATATTTTATTTTCTTAATGGATAATAACATATATATTCATCTTTCCTGTATAACAACATTTGTTTGTGTTTTGGTCTATTTCAAGAAAAAGAAACTTACTGTTTCACCCAGAGACTCTCCTCTCTCTGCTGACACTCTCTCAGCCACTGCCATAGCAGATATCCTTCGAGGCTGTGTGCAAATGATGCTGCAAAATGCCCCGCGGCCGGACTCTATCTCTGACTCTAATATATATTGAGGAAGTTGAGTCGTTTTACCACAGCCAGTCTCTCCAGATATAACAATTACCTAGATAATTATTCAGAGATAAGGTATCAATTATGAATGCATAACATCAACAAAGTTCATGATATTCAACTCATTCCTATGGGAAATCTAGAAACACGGATAATGTGTTATTGGATCCAAATATAACAAGACAAATAAACTAGGGGATTTTGAATTAATTAAATGACAGTAAGATTCAATGAAAAGAAATGCCATACTCATAAGAAGAATGTAAAACTATTAACCTATTACTCGGCACAAGGCTTCTTATCATGGGGAAAACTATATTAAGAGCATCTATGAATTTTTAATCAAATGAATACCAATTAAAGAATGAGTAAGGAAAAAAGAATTTGAAATCAAATTGTTTTTTTAATATTTGAAACATGACAAGATAATAATACAAGCTCAAATATCAAACATAAATTGAAATATGGTCAAATTTTGGCATGTAATACCATCGCTTTGTCGACAGGGTGTAGTATTCTAAGGACATATTTTATAGTATTATAAGTGTTAGTACAGCCAAGTTCATCTGAACTTTTTCTTCTTCTCAGTTGCAGGTGTTCCTTTCTAGTTTGGTACTATGAGCAAGAATTGTATTTGATATTAGATTTTAAACAATTTAAAACTTACCATGTTCCATGTCATTATCATGTTCTCATTTGTCTAGTATTCATAACAAAATTCTAAAATATTGAGGGGTTAGAGATAATTGGGTTTTTAATTCAAAGTGCTGAAGACATACCGGTAGCAAACTTGGCATACATCTACTGACAATGTAAGTAAGAAACTAGCAACTATACCTGATTACGTGCTATAGCTTGAAGTAAACCTTCCTTCTCCTTAAATGATGGTAGAGACTTCCGGAATTCCAGCATCTTCTTGCCTTCAGGAGATTCCTATATATAAAAGTACAATATATTCAGAAGCCAGAAAATGTGGATATTACTTCAATAACTTTCTACTTTATAAAATAGAATTATAGAGGGAGTTCCTCTTGGAAAATAATTAGTAGGTATTGTTTTAAAAAACATCCATGAACATCAATTCACTCCAAAATATTAGTTTGTAAAAAACATTTAAAATTAGAGGTACGTTTAGGCTGCACAATGGAACATATAGAAGCCAAATCAAATGTACCCGTATACGTAGAAAAAAAAACATTAAAAATTAGAGGTACGTTTAGGCTGCACAATGGAACATATACATAAAATCAGAGTTGCTACTTGCAAGGCATATAAGCTTTTTCTGCGTCAATAATATAGGCATCCAGTACACCGTCCTTTATGTACTATTAACTTTAGGATGTTTGACAACTTGAATAAATTTTATACTCTTATATAGTTGTTTGCTACAGATTATAAGTGAATTTAACATTCAATCCTTTATGGATTAATTTTTACAGACTTTTAAAATTTAAAAAAATAAAAATGAAAAATAAAAAACCATAAGTTATTTTGTGATTGTTTACCATAATGAAAATAGTTTTTTAAAAATCATTTATCGGAAGTGATTTTCATGATAAGTTACTTAAAACAGAGACTTCTGATCATAACTTGCTAATTCAAGCATGTAATACAAATCAAAATATCCAACAACAGAAATCAAGAAAATCCAACAAGAAAAAACAAACCTGCCAAGATCTTTGCATATTACGCATCCTCAAACTCCTCTTCTGAAGAACCTTTTCCATAACAGACTCCTCCACAAAAGAATTGGCATTTTCATTCATGTCTATATCTTTAACCTGATTGGTGGAATTAACACTATCCAAACAGTCAGTTGTCTTTTCAGAATTTAATTGTAGTCTATCAAGGTACTCCTGCACTAAACCTTCCACCCTCCTTTGCAAGCTTAGTGGAATCACAACCTATGACAATGGAACGGAGAAGGATTATTTTTGTAGGATGACATCAATCTAAATACTAGACTATTAGTTGAAATGTCCCACCCCAGTGGTGCTACCCAAGCTATTACCTCTCTTTGTGGACGTTTGTCATCCAAATCTGGTCGGTAGTTAGGAAGAGGCACTTTGCTTGCAACAACTACTTTACCAAACAGCTCACTATGCATAAAGATAAAAAAATTTTAAAAAAACAATAACAATCGATGATTGATGAGAACAAGAACGAACAAGGATTCAATTAAAAGTTTGAGGTTATCATTAAAAGTTGATTAAATCAAAGTGAATAATATACTTCAGGCAAATAGACATTGTTTTATTCCATATAGCATATAAAGTAAAAAATAAGTATCTTTTACCTGTAAAGTCCCATTCTTTTGGCAAGGTTAGCGATTTGTTCATAGTCTCTCCTATCTCTTTTATCTCTAGATACAATCTCCTGATCATTTTCGTTCCGTAACAGCATACTAAGTTTCCATTTCCACTCATCGACATTGGCAACAGTAGATGAAGCCTTCAATAACAATTACATTTACTTAGAAACCATAAAGCCCAGACACCAGAAACACGACACTGACACGTCTACACCGGTAATAATTTGAAAAAATGTAATTAAAGTAATCACAAGTGACGAACAAACATTTATTCGGAGGTGTCCGTGCTACATTAGAACTATTGAAATCACAGATAATTAGCCTTATGGCAGAATTGATAACAGAAGTTAATTACCACAAAACAGATGGATAGAATATTGAATTTAACTCCATATTTGATACATAATTTCCAAAAAAACAATATAACATGTTAGGTTGCAAATTGCAATCAAATGAATTCTTGTGAATTCAGTATGACACTTTAATTCAAGCAAAACCTAATATCCAAATATATTAAAAACTAAAATAATTATATAAAAAAAAGGGAAACCTGGTGGTTCTCAAATTCACAGTCATATTCATCATCAGAGAACTGTTCGAGATTGTAGTATCCAGAGAAGAAGCGCGTGGATATAAACGGTTTAGAGTTGGATAAGAACGAAGAAAGCGAGGGTTGAAAGTTGAATAAGAGTGAGGGTGAAGATGAAGTGAGAGAGCGATAGTTGTAGTGGCGAAGATGAAGAGACTTGGCACGTGCTATGAGGAAAGACGCTGCGGATTTTGGATTATGCATTGTTGTGAAGAGGGAGGTTGAGGCATCGCGGTGCCGGTGGTGGTGTTGTGGTGTGATGCCTTCTTTTGTTTTGCTTTGGTTGATGGGAGAATGTGGAGATTGCTACTGCGACTGAGGTGTGTTGTTTTGCTTTGGACAAAACGGAAGATGGCAGTCGTTTTGAACTCTGAATGAATTAGAAGAACCATCGATAGCGAGAGCGGGTCGGGTTTTATTTGACATGCCCGTGTGTCGCGCAAATATAATTATAAATAATAAATAAATGTATAATATAATGATGATTAATAAATATATATAAACGATACGCAAATTAAAAAAATATTTGAAATTGTGATGGTCATATATCTATTAATTTAAATAATAGATAAATATGATGTATTCATAATTAAGAAATATAGATAAAAGATGTACAAATTAAGTATTCTCGATCCGATAGAAATTATATTTTAGTAGATAAAATAAATGAAATAACTAAGTAGTCATTTATCTGTGCGTTCAAACGAGTCATAAAATGATGTTATAAATAGTGTTCTGAACTGGGTCGGGACCTGCCCATTAGTCGGGCAAGCCCGACCCAACACTACGTTGGAAAGGCTCAATCATCCTGTGTCGGGCACAAGCCACATATGTCGAGCAGACGACTCCATTGACGGGCAGATCTACACTTTTTTCCCACGTTCTCCACGTGCCCCCCCCTGCGGGGACACGTCATTAGGCAACTATCCACCTCCGAAAGAGTTGGTCAGCCCACCTTCTAAAGATCACGGGGCAGTTGATCTAGGGCGAAGACCACATGCTGGTCTTCACTACGCCACGTAAGCTCTAACAGTTACTTGGGTTGGGCCAGGCAGTCTGGCTTAATCCAAATAATTGTTGGCCCTGCGCTGGGGTCTCTCTATATATACCCTATTTCACTAGAGAGTCAGGTATTTTATTCTACACCTACTTCTGTATTTGTTCTCATACTCTGATCTTTTACTTACTTAAGCATTGGAGTGCCTTGCAGGTACACCCCCCTCCTTCTCCCTACCTCCGGTGGAAGTTACCAGTCGATGACGCGTGGTAGACCAGTGATATCTTTTGATCAGGTACGATCAGTGGCACCGTCTGTGGGAAAACTAAAGCTTCCCCATTCTTTCAAGCAGTAGAACCAAAGCTTTCATCAACTTCCGAGATCATGACCAGCCCACGCCACAACGATGTTGTCCATAATTCTGCCTTCGACCCACTCACCAATGAAGAAGACCATGGTGGGGTCATCGACAACCATGACGGTGACGTTAGGGATGGGCAGACTGCCATTCCTTTATCCGATGACGTGAAATGCAACGTCGCCCCTCGAGCAAGGAACCCAACTGTTTTCCAGCCCGTCCCCATGCCAGCAGGAGCAGATTCGACGATGATTACCCTCTTCGCAGCCATTAACCAGACTAATTTGATGTTGTTCCAGCATAACGAATGTATCAGGATGCTGGAACAAAATCGCTCATCTCGCTCTCCCCCGCGGAGAACCCAGCACGAGGATTCTCGAAGCCCCTCTCCCCGTCAACGAGGGTGTCGACCACAATTGGAGAAGCCCCAAACCGTGGGCTCCAAGAAGCGTGACAGGTCACCTCCCCGGAAGGAGAGGCGCTCTCCGGCCCCGAGGAAGAACAGACCTGATGGTCCGAGTAAGAGGATGAAAGGTCGCGGTCAAGTACCTCGACACAATCATTCCCCTTCACATTCCCCTGTTCGCAGTGACGAGGACAATCACCAGACTCCATTGTCGCGAGAAATCATGGAGACCCTCATCTCCTACGGGATGGAGAAGTCGCTTGCATTCTCCACATATGATGGCATGACAGACCCAGACGACCATCTAGAAGACATCGAAGCCATGCTCGACTATCGGAACATCCGAGGAGCCATCAAATACAGGCTCTTCTCGACGACTCTAAGGAAGGGAGCCATGGCATGGTACAAGAGCTTGGAGCCCAAGTCCATCACCTCGTGGAGGGTGTTGAAAGATCTCTTCTCGCAACATTTCACGGCATCCTGGTTCCATCTAAAGACGGAAGCTGCCCTGGGCGCGATCATCAAAGCCCGGGATGAATCTCTTAGGAATTACATCGAGAGATTCACGATGGAGGCAGTCCAGGTAACTACTTCAGACGACATGAAGTGTTACCTCATAGAGCAAGGGCTGCATCGCGGCTCCAAATTCGCCGAGGCTGTGGCAATCCATCGGCCAACCACCCTCCAAACCTTCCTCGAAAAAGCTCGAGCATACATCCGATACAAGGAGATCGAAGCTTCCAATTTTGTCCGAGACTCTCGGAACCGCGAAGTGGGTCGTGGCGCTCGAGAAGAGGAAGCACCAGCCTCCGGCGCGGGGGAGATCGACACGAGATGATCATCCCCGGGAACCCCGAGAACAGAGGGGGCCCGCAGGCCGATTCACTGAGTACACGGCCCTCATCGCTTCCCGCGAGCGCATCCTGGCTGACTGCGCCAATTCAGAGTTCGTAAGAGGAGGTGTTTGTTTCCCTAAACTGACACCTCCAAAGCCAATGTGGACAAGTCCAAGTATTGTCGCTTCCACCGCGGCCATGGACATGTCACGGAGGATTGCATCCATCTCAAGGATGCAATCGAGATACTCATCAAGTATGGGCACTTGAAGAGGTACATCAGGGGAGGAGATGCCCCTCGATAGGAGGCCCACAAGGCCAAAAGAGTCGAAGACGTTCCTCCGCCCGCCAGCGGCACAGGGCTGCAAGTGGCCCTCAGCATAAGTCGGCCTAAAGACTTTTTCTCTCTAAGAGAACACGACTTCCCTATCGGGCATCAGCTGTCCGAGGAACCAATACACCCCCATCAACCCGTGGGAATACTTACCCATTACGATGGTCATCTCCGGCGGGGCCCTAAACAAGCTCTTTGTCGGGTCCATAAAGAGGAAGTTCGACGAGCTGATGAGCAATAGCTCCAGCAAGATGAGCACCCTTGACAAGTTCCACGGTCGGTCTAATCCGATCACATATTATCTCGAGGAGTTGCCCGGGGAAGCCCCTAACGCCGCCATCCCCCTGCTGATCTGGGCACATATGGCAAGCTTTGACATCTGTCGTATCTTGGTTGACGGAGGAAGCTTAGTGGATATCATGTATACATACATGTTATCGACGTTGCAGCTCGACAAGACCAATCTAACTCCTTATGTCAGCTCCGACCTCCAAGGGTTCAACGGGACGACAACGAGACCATGGGGGTATGTGGAACCCAATGTCATCTTCGGGACAAATGAGACAGCTAGGGAGATCAACATTCGCTTCCTGGTCGTCGAGTGCCCATCACTGTACAACTGCATCTTAGGCAGGACGACCCTGGCGGACCTCATCGTAGTGTCGTCAATGGTCCACCTTAAGATGAAGTATTACACAAGGCGGGGAGGTATCGTCACCCTCAACAGCGACATAAAGGTAGCCTGAAGATGTTTCGAAGCAACAATGAAAGGCCTCAGCACGATCGGCCCCTCTCCCATGGCGATCAAGTTTCTACCCATCCAAGAGCAGAAGCCAAAAGACCACGTCGATTATGTGGACCTCGACTGCCGCTTCCCCGACGAACAGGACCAGGAAGCAAAATCCGAGCATGCTCCTCCAATGGTCAACAGGCAGCCTTCTCATCCAACGTGCCCCATTCTAGACGGGGACTTTGAGCTTGTAGCCTTCAGCGAGGATACAACTAGGAACGTGAAGATTGGAGCTGGACTACCCGACCTGGCGAAGAAGCAGTTGAAGGCCTGCCTCCATAAGAACGTTGATCTCTTCGCCTAGAGTGCTGCCGAGATGCCTAGTCTTGTCCCCAAGGTCATCTGCCATCAGCTCTCCAACGATCCAACCGCGAAGGCCGTAGTACAACGTAGGCGTAGGCAGTCTCCCAAAAAGTCGGCGGTTGTTGAAAAAGCTGTAAAAGACCTCCTATAGGCAAATTTTATTTTGGAAGCCTGGTATTCAACCTGGTTCACAAGAGGTATTGTTTGCTCTCCTTGAGGGTTAGGGTTATTTGGCTGATTCACATCTGTCGCCATATTCCTAACGTTTCGTCTTGTCAATCTCTCTTCATTTACAGCAGTAATTCTACCACTTCTCAGTAACATAAACGTACTTTTCACGAAAAGATCAATAAGACTGCAATTTCTAAAAATTTAATTGTATAAAAGAAAAATTCTTTTTAGCACGGTCCCACTGGGCGTGCCATTTTGTTTCCCTTGAAAATCGGAAAACAACCGCTGAACTTCCAAATCTAACTTTGGTGACTCACAAGATCGATCAGATTGATCCTAGGACATGTGCTAAAAGGTTTCGTCTTCTAGAATCTACCTAAGTTACACACTTCGACAATATTGGGTGAAAAGTCTTAAGGGTAGAATTGTTTATTAGACTGAAGAGAGGAAGGAGATAGAAATTTAGATAGAAAGAAATAGAAATCTTTGGGGGAAGGAAAAAGGTTAAAGGTAAAGTAAGAATGCATCAAAACTAGAAATTATGGCGAAAAGGTAAAGAAACTTAATAAAAGTAAAAAGACAAAGTAAACTTCATTAAAAAGTAAAACACAGTGTGTTTACATCACGTACATTCTCCTTGACACTCTTTTTCTCTACACACGGATACTTGGAGTAATTATATGAGTGACTTGTACAAAAGTAAATTACAACACACTAATTCAATCTCTAAAACTCCTATTTATAATAGAAGAAATAACTAACAATAACTTCCCAAACCATCATCTTCCGACACATGTCGTGATGCATGAAGTCCTTCTCTTACCGGGTGCCACATGTCCTATTAGTCATTAGCGAATGAAACTACTCCCTCCAATTTATTTGAATTTCAAATCTTTAAGATAGCAATCAAGCAACGTCTCGGTCGAAGCATGGCCCTTCGACGTTTCGTGATTTCTTTCCCAAAGCCTTCTAAATGTTTCGACACTTCTTCTTCGTAGACCTTGGACTT